CAAGCAAGGACCGTGGAGGATGGTGGCCAGGAGAGTTCCTTTCCATAAAGCTTTCGCTTCTGCTTCAATAGGTGAAAAACAATGCAGGGGTTCAGCTACCCCGCACATACTTGTCCATGGGCATTCGTGACAACGACGCCATAAGCCGCCTCCTGAGATGCTTCAAAGAAAGAACCATCACAGTGTATTTCAAACTCATGAATATTTGGCGGTGGAGTAGGATGATCCGGGGGTGGGGCTAACTGAATGGGTGGGGATGAAGATGGTGTTCTGGCAGGGCATGCGTCCCATTGCTGCGACTCAAGCACAGCCCTAGAACTGGTGGACGGTGGCCAGGGGATCTTGCCCCTGAAAATGAACTCGTTTCACTTTCTTCCTCTTCCATTGAAAATAATTGTTCCTCCCACAAAAGCCAAAAACACCAGCGATGGACCTTCAGTTTATACTCTGTTTCAATTTCTTTCTCTACGATTCACCATAAACGTTCGATTTCCTCCATCCCTCTCTCCACTTCGTCTCTCGAAATTTTGATCTATCACTCTCCTCTTACTCGCTTGCAGGAGCTCGCCAAATCGACGGGAATGAAGAGAGGTTGGGTTCACCGTTGGGTTGTTCTCGCCGAATCGCCGAGCTCGGAGCTTCCAGATCGACGAGCGTGGAGCGGCGACAGAGACTTGCGACGGGAGCGGTGCTCTCCTCTTTGTCTGTTCAGCTTGCACGAACGGACGAAAGGGAAAAATCGGGCGATCGGGTCAAGCGGGTCGAGCGGTTAACCGCCTCGGTCGTTTGCTGACCGCTCTTGAAATCCATTCCGGCTAATTGACTGTGTCGAGCCGGTTTGGTGGTCGGGTGATAGTTTTACCGGTTGGTCCGCCCAGCTCTGGTCGGTTATAAATAACACTGGTTCTATAGTTATGACGTAGGGTATTACTCAATGGATTATTAACCTGTTCGACATTTAACGTTATTTTAATTATGTTGTTAAGTGGCCTTTTTGTTTAAAAAATGAATCAGCTTTTACTAATAATAGTAAAAAGAAATGGAAGTAGGGTGTTATTAACACTATTCGGCAGGAATAATTAGCAGTAGTGACTCGTTCTAACTACAACATCCCAATCGTCGATCAAGTATAACCAACGACTCGGTGTAGCATAGGGCAAGCAAGCAATAAGAATTTATCGTACAACAGAGATCTAGGCTTACTCTATTTCAGGTTTAGGGTTCGTTATCTAGCCAACCTAGAGCAGCGATTAGGAAAACTAAACTAACTAACCTAGATTAACCACTAATCTAGCTATTTACAAGGTTTGGAGCTCTCTTGGGTTAAATCCCCTTATTTCCGACTTTTGGATCTATGTTGAGTATCCTCCTAGTTCGATCGACCCACTATCCTACCGTTAGGAGATGGACTCCATCGGGAATGACCCGGAACAACAAATCGATGGATGGGTAAGAGCTCTATTCAACCTAGGGCACCCCTATATCGTAGGAGATCGATCCAATCGACTCCCTCGGGGATTACCAGGACGATATGGGGTGAGGAGTTGTTTCCCTCCTAGGTCAAAAGCTTGATTGACCCAATTACTCTACCATTAGGAGATGGACTCCCTCAGGAATGACCCGGAACGGCGAATCGATGAATGTGGTAGGCTCTATTGAACCTAGGGCAACCCTATATCGTAGGAGATTGATGGAATCGACTCCCTCGGGGATTACCCAGACGATATAGGGTGAGGAGTGGCCCGAAGACGCCAACAATTGGCTCTAAGGGGATTTTCTCCCTCCCAGGTCAAAAGCTCAATACATTAAAATGGAAACCCAACTTATGTCATTCATGAAAACATCCATCAAGTAAGTGAAATCATCAATCAAACATGGAATGTGTCACATACATTAACATTAAACCCAAATCTAGACCTAGGGTTCTTAAACCAAGAGAAGAGGGTGAGTTTCTAGAGAGGAGAGAAATTACAAATTGGAGCCCAAGATTTTCTTCTTCTTCTTCTTCTATGCTTGAATCCTTGTCTTTAAGATCAACCCAAGCCTCCAATTAAGCCCCAAGATCACTCAAGCACTCTCTCTCTCTCTTACTAGAACTCCCCTTTGGTGTTTTGGGTTGAAACCCTAGAGAAAGAAACTATTCCCCTTCCAAAAACCAGCTCCCCTATCTATCTCCCCGCTATTGTCTTTATATTTGCCTGATAGGGCCCAGTTCAGAGTCTTAGACCTCAGTTCACGGCCGCGTTGATCAGTTCACGGTCTTATAGATCGTGAACTGACTTGATGCTAGTAACTTCCGAAACCGTTATGTAAATTGGTCACTTCACAATCTGGGCTTTCAATTTACGGTATTAGAGACTGTGAACTGAAGCTCCAGTCCGTGAACAGGGCTCAACCTCAACTTTTTGGCTCTTTTTGATCTCCGAATGACCCGAAACTCATCCCGGACCTTCCCACACGTACTAGGACCTGAAATGTAACAAAACAAGCACAACCTAGCGTAAAATATATCGAGGGACGGTGATCTACTAAGCAAAACGGACAAAAGGTGAGGGGTAAAATGTGTACATTTGGGCCCGAATCAAGTAACACAGTTAGTAATCTTTGACTGGAACGACATGTTATTAACGAATTTGCTATTTTTTTCCGTTGAATTTGCTATTTTTTGTTATGGAAAATACATGGGTTTTTAGTGCTTAATTTTGTAAGGAGTTATGTATGATATTGCTACTAGTTCACGTTACTACTGTTACTAAATTTGGTTGTAGTATTAATAACTTGATCCATAGGGAATATATTTTCCATTGTTATTCATGGACAAATTTGAATGAGTTACCTACTGATGGGTCTGGGCGCGCCAATTGCACACCCGAGCATGAAAATCAAGAGGAGGAGATGTCCATAGCTATGTCTTGTGAAAGTAAGAGGTCGTTTGGTATTGGGATTTTGATAAGGATTTTGGGCTAAAAACCCACACTTATGGGATTATGGACAAAGTTCATGTTTGTTGTAAAAATTGTGTTTGATTAGTTCTTGTGGGACCTATGCATAAGATTTTGTGTAAGCTGCCGCAATTTTTTATTTAGTCCATACAAATTTAGTTAGCTAGCCACAAGGAATAACTGGTGTTGGCGGATTAAGCTGTAAAGTAAACTTGGAAGGAGATGGAGAAGGTAATGGCGGAGGGCAGGGGCTTTTGTTCTTCTCTTGGAGATGGTAGTTAATAAGGATAAAATTGTAAATTCAACCTTTAACTAATCAATTACAAAGACATAAATCCAATACAAAATTCATGAAGCAAACAAGTACTTTTGCAAATCCAACACAAATCCAAAATGACAAAATCCCACATAATCCTTCTATGATAAAATCCAGGGTTTTACACAAATCCTTGGTTTTTCAGAATCCTACAAGCAAACGACCTCTAACTTCGGTGTTTGATTTGCATACAATGGATAATTGAACGAGTACCTGGTAGTAAGAGCAATTTAGTGTTGTGTTGTTATTAGAATGTCGTTAATAATTGATATTTGAACAGTTGTAGCGGATGATATCACGAATTTGGATAGATATACACCAGATGTGCATGCCACCAAAGATGGGGATCTCACTAGTGATATAGCTAGGTTAGTGTTGGTATTAATAATAATGTTTATCGTTAGTAATAACATATGGCTAACCAATTATTGAACCGTGCAGTGCGGGAAGTTATTGATCCCGACGATGAAAGAACATGGAGACACCATTGTTCTATAGAGAATACACCCATGATCATGGTTTTGAAATGAGGAAACAAGGAGCTCCTAAAGGCAACACTGAAAGTAAATTTAGTGAGGAAACTCACTATATCTATTGTGTTTGCAACAAGAGTTGGTTTCGAAAGAAGAGCGAACGAGATCCCAAAAACATAGGCAAAATTGATAATACAGTTCGCAGACGGAATAGATTAGAGACTACAACGGGTTGCTTGGCAAAGATGAACTTCAAGGTAGACAAACAACCTAATATGTACTACATCGACCGGTCGGTGTTCGAGCACAACCACGAATGTCACGACAAGTCAGCAAATCATTTTATAAGGTCAAACAGGAAAATCAACAAGGCGCAGATGTACTTTGCTAGACTTAACGAGGTTGTGCGGATACGAGTGTGGGCTAGTTATGCTACATTTTGTCTAGCTGCCGAAGGTCGGGAAAATGTTGGATTCCTCCCTTCATATTTGAAGAATTACATTAGAGTGGTTCGACAGAAGACAATGGAGTATGGTGTTGCAACATTCTTATATCAGCATGTTTGTATATAAATTTATGGGTAATGTCTATTTTTTTATCCAAACCTTTTTCAGATTCTTTTATATTATCCAAACCTATCGAAATACTAAGAATTAGCCAAATGTTAACTTTCGGTTAGCAATTATTTTTAGTAATATTGACTTGGCAACATGAGCCTTAGTGTAGCTCCGCCCCTGTTTGGAGTGACATTAACTATGGAGTTTTAGATTTCTCAAGTTTTAGAATGTTTGTTGGCAAGGAACAAAAGAGTTTGTTTCTGTGGTGGGTGTTCTTTCTAGTTTTTAAACGAATGAAGGAAAATACACAAAATAAAACTATATTTAGAATGTTTGTTGGCAAGGAACAAAAGAGTTTGTTTCTAATTTGATTTCTATGGTTAGTGTTTTTATTAGATTTTAAAGATTAAAGGAAAATACACAAAATAAAACAGGCAAGGAACAAAAGAGTTTGTTTCTAATTTGATTTCTATGGTTAGTGTTCTTATTAGATTTAAAAGATTAAAGGAAAATACACAAAATAAAACGCTAGAAGGAGGGTTCGAACCTCCGACCTTGTGGTTAACAGCCACACGCTCTAACCAGCTGAGCTATTCCAGCTATGTGTCCAGTTCTGACAAATGAAATTAATTAACCGTTATGTATCCCTTGAATCTGCTCTATTTCCCACCCAAACCCGTTTACGATTTCGAAGCTCCAATTGACCCGACAGCTCAGCTCAGGTACCGGCGAGTGGAGTGGTGTATCTCATCCTGTCTTCGCCTCCTCTTCTCCCTTCTCAAACCTTCTCCTCTCCTCTCCTCTCCATTCCATTTGCCACTTATCCCTCCCTATGCTGGAGCTTCAATGGCGGAGAATGCCAGTGGTGGTGGTAATCAGGGCTTCGCTGTGCTTACTAAGAAAAGGGCCGAGGGTAGAGATGAAAGTGATCGGAAGCTCAATCCTACTAACAACCATCTCTTCTGTACAGGTATCATAAACATTTGCTTTAGTCTGCCGTTTTCTGTGTTCTCTTAGATATGAACTGACGAAAGCTTTGCTGATTGTCATGAAGATCGAACCTTTTCTTCATGGGCCTTGATGGTTTTGGGTAATCATAGGTTTTGGTCAAAACTTTGGTGTGTTTCATGAATATCGATCTTGAGATTGAATTATGCAGAATGCAGGCGGAAGGGAAGCATGCTATTTGTGGCCACTTGAAATTGCACAGCATATTCTTGCTTGTGTCACTTGAATTAAGCTTGTGGAACTGTGAAGAATATGCTTGGTTCTGTCCCTTGAATTAGCTTGTGCAACTGTGATATGTGGTGATTACCATGTATCTTCCTGTCACAATTGTTGGACCATGATCAGATTGCAATTATAGAAAAGCAATACCACCCAAGATAATACTGTAACAAGTGTGTATTCGATGTTTAATTTTACTGTCATCCGCACTCTCCCTGAAGTCTTTGCTTGGCTAATTATATCCTGATAACAAGGAAAATAACTCTCTATGCTCAATTTTTTTGTCAGATTGATCTTAAATTTCTCTCCCATTTCTGCTCAGAAACAGCTGGTGGAATTCCAGGACTGTTGTTAACTTTGGCTGGCATTGGAGCCAGGTAAGGGAATGCGGGCAAGTGTTGGTATGGAAGCAAATCTATGGACCCTATTGTGCTCGTCGAAGATGAAGTCGTCAAAAATGTCAGCCGCCCGGCTGAGATTTTCGTCAGGAGTACTTGAAGTAAAGCCGGGTGATATGGCTGCTAACTGCCCAAGATTATGGGCAAGTTAGACGCTGGAAAGACCAAGGTCCTCGTTTTGGACATGGGCCCAAACACAGCTAACTACAATTTTGGAAAATCAGTGATGTCAGATCGTGACAACATCATTCTGCACCTGAGCAATGTAATGGGTCCTCTTGTTCCAGGTCCAGCAGTCCTCCTTGTTGATTGCCTGACAGAGGCTCATGTAGATGAATAGTTATCAACGGCATCTCTTGATAGCTACTTCTACAGTAAATTGATCCGAGGATGATGAGTCGGGAAATTGCATCGTCCATTTGAGCCCTTCCTCGGTGATGAACAGTCCCCAAGTATCAGAAGTGGATGGGGAAATTCAGTTCAGCACAACATATTATATTGCTGGTCATCATACGTGAGTGCAAATTCTGTTTGAGTATTTTCTCCCCTTTAACTTGAGTTTTCGCTCCCCTTTCAGTGTTTTTTTTCTTCTTCTTCCTTTTGTTCTTTTACAGGCGAAATGTCGACATTCCTATTCTGAAATTCAAAGAATTGCAGCACAAGACTTACATACTTGTGCCCTCAGTTGTTTCCAGCCCCGGGATTCTGGTCACTTCAGCACCTAAATAACAGGACATTAGACTCTTCGAGCGATGTTTGTCTCACTGGACTGCACTTCTACATTCCTAATAGCATTATCTTTTGGACCTTGTAAATGCCTCAACATTATATTTCTGGGTTTCGTTTTCTTGCTGGATCTTCCATCCACGGTTTACCAAACCATATATCTACGGACAATCTACCAAAGGTAGGAACTTCCTTAGGGTGTCTAGCTTTGAAGTAAAGTTGCTCCGCTTTCTCATTCTAGTAGCTTTTCTTCGTGTCATCTTTTTGCAGTTGTTAACTTCTATGCTTGCGACATGGAGGTCTTCCCACCAAAAACATGACAGAGTTCAACCCTGTCTTCTACCAGACCAGACCAACTAAATATTGTCACCGGCCCCTCTCCTTTTTGTCCCATGGTAAACGACGCGGCCGTCTATTTTGTTCGTCCTTAATTTTATTGGTTGGGATTCCTTCAGATGCTTTTGTCCGTTTGAAACTACTTGTTTTCTTCCTCACTCACCCTGCTGCTAACTTGTAATTTGGATTCCAACCAAACTCCTTGGACGAGCATTCGGTTGCTTCCTTGTTTTTAAGCGGTTTCTTGCGACTTGTTGTTTTCTTCTTACTAACGACAACTCTTTTGCTTTGTGAGACACTACAAGCAAATCAGAAATCAATCCATCATTATCAGCTTTGGACGGAATGAACCAAGGGACTAAAACTGCTGCATAATCGCAGGGAATAGAAGAAAAAAGAAAGAAACAGGTTATTGAATACAACTACAGCTTCTTATCCTGTTCCAAAGATTAGGCGAGTGGAAGGTTATTCTCGCGCATCAATGTTAGGTGGGCACGCCCTTTAAATGTTTCGATGATTTCCAGGAGCTAGCATTTGTTTGGCCATGGATATGCCCCCGGTATAAACAGCAGCCAACCTGGTGTTGATTTGATCTCAGGAAATCACCAAAAATCACAAGTGTGCGGAGGAAAGCAAGCCATGGCATGCACTTCAGTGGCGGCATCTCCCGCAGCTACAGGTTCTAGAACGCAGCACTTGCTCAAAGAGCACTACAACTGGCTCCGTCGTTCGGATTCAGGCAAAGACTTGAGGAGGAGTCGACAAGCTAACATCCGGAGGTCGCATTCTGTCGATCACCTGTTATTGTGCAAATCTGTCAACTGCAACAATACACGTGCCTGCTCATCAGTGCAGCCGAAATTGAAGAGCATAGAGGAGGATGGTGATAAGGAGGTCGCCAGTACTAGTGGAGCTCAGAGGTCGGAACAAGAGAGCAATGAAATGATAAGTCACGGCGAACACATCAACGAGGGAGTTAAGAGAGCGAATTGGGTGGAGAGGCTCTTAGAAATCAGAAGCCATTGGAGGAGGAATATTAGACAACAGAAGAAAGAGGACCATGACATGGCCATCGACTCTTCCTCTTCTTCTGATCATCACGTGGACAAAATAGGCTGTGACTGTGATGGTTTTGATGGTGATGATGAAAATTCTGGTTGCATGGTGGATTACAACAGCTCAGAAGAAGAAGAAGACAGGTACTATAACAAAGAGACCTTCTCCAGACTCTTGGCACATGTTCCTTGGTCCGACACTAAGCTCTTCTCCAAATTGGCTTTCCTGTGCAACATGGCTTATGTTATATCTGACATTAAGGTACCTAAACTTGAACATATCCATAAACTTGACTGGTTTTGGTTTCTTCTCAGCCTGAATTTTATTGCACGATTAAAAAAATTTCGTTGAATTTCTGATAAAAATAATTTTTCATACATATGCAGGCCAATGATCTGAAACGACATTATGGGATCCAGTTTGTGACATCATCTTTGGAAAAGAAAGCTGAGGTGGCTACAATGAAAGCAAAGCTTGATAATGGAGATTCTACTTGTGTTTTACCTCCAATCGTTGAGCAACCTAGTGAGGACCAAGAAGAACACAAGTGTCGTCCAGAAGTTGCTTATGAGATTGCCGTTTCTGCAGCTTCTTATGTTCAATCACGGGCAAAGGAAATTAATCCAGATCAAAGCTCTTCTTATTCAAACCAACCTCATCCATTGTACAAAAAGTCGTCGCCAGAGGTGGCAGCATATGTTGCTGCATCAACTATGACGGCAGTTGTGGCAGCAGGGGAGAAGGACAAACAGGAGACTGCAAACAACCTCCAGTCCCTCCAGTCATCTCCTTGTGAATGGTTCATCTGTGATGATTCCAGTACTTGCACTCGTTGTTTCGTAATTCAAGGTTCAGACTCCTTTGCTTCTTGGCAAGCAAACCTCTTCTTTGAACCTGCCAAGTTTGAGGTATGCCTTCTATCCATTAACACAGTGAAAATCAACAGATAATACGAGGGTGGACACACTCATACAGATGCCAAATGTTGAATTGGTATGTCGTTGTGTTCTCAGGGAACTGATGTGCTGGTTCACAGAGGAATTTATGAAGCAGCTAAGGGAATATATGACCAATTTATGCCAGAGATCATGAGTCATTTGGAGACATATGGAGATCGTCGTGCAAAGCTTCAGTTTACAGGTCACTCACTAGGGGGTAGTCTATCGCTTATGATCCACTTGATGCTGTTGACAAGGAAGGTAGTTGTCAATCCATCTATCCTACGACCAGTGGTCACTTTCGGCTCCCCTTTTGTGTTTTGCGGAGGTAAGAAAGTGCTCAACAGCTTGGGTTTGGATGAATCCCACATCTGCTCTGTTGTCATGCACAGGGACATCGTCCCAAGAGCTTTCTCCTGCAACTATCCCGACCATGTCGCGCTGCTTCTCAAGCGTTTGAACGGAACCTTCAGGTCCCACCCTTGTCTTAATATGCAAAAGAGGTTGTACTCTCCTCTTGGGAAGCTGTTCATCCTCCAGCCTGAAGAGGAATCATCCCCTGGACATCCTTTAATGCCGTCGGGAAGTGGCTTCTATACTTTGGACGATTCGAAGCTAGGAAACTTCTCTGACGACGACAACGACTCCAAGTCCAAGTCCTACTCCAAGGGTAGTGCCCTCAAGGCATTTCTGAATCTCCCCCACCCACTGGAAACTCTAAGTAACCCTACAGCATATGGTTCAGAAGGCACAATCCTACGAGACCATGAGTCGGGCAACTACCTGAAGGCGTTGCATGAACTTGTGAGGCAAAACACAAAAACAACGACTAGGAAAGCAGTGAAGCAAGTGAGTAATAACGTCTTGTGGCCGCTGCTAAAGGCACCCTCTCCTCATTCGTGGGAGGATCAATACAACAATGCTGGAAGTAACGCTTTCGAAGGCAACAACTTGTTGGTGAAGAAGGAAGTAATAACTAGTAGTGTATGAGTGCAATTTTTTTTTTTCTAGGTTGCACTTTTGTAGTTATTCAATCTCATTGCCATCATTTGCGTTGTTATTTAAGATATCTTCCATATGTAAATCTTTTATGATTTTTGAGCGTTACCCTTTCCTATACTCATTGATATTTTACTATCGAGTAGATTGCAAGTTTGGTCACCGGGATTACTAAAAAATTTCATGTTTGGTTACTAAAAATATTTAATTCCATTTGTGGTCACTAAGATTAGTTTAACAGTTCAAGTTTGGACACTCTTTGTTACTCTCCGTTAAGTTTATCTGATGTGACAGTCTACTCTGATAATTTTAATTCCTAGAAGTTACTTTGGAGGTCCGATACTCCGGGAGTGTATTCAGATCCTAGACTCTTCGTCAGTTTGTATAGATCCTAGACTCCTTGACCACAACGAAATGGGTTTCTCTAGTTGTTTTGATTCCCCAGCTCAGTGCCAGCACCAGGAGCAATTGGTCAACATTGGTGATCTCGCACGCAAAGTTTGAAAGATTGAGCGGTGGCGGCTAAGGATTTGGAAGAGTCAGTGGCGATCTTGTGTGCGAAGGAGTGAGCGGCGGAGAGATCTCACAGGAAAAAGAGTGAGCGGCACTGTGATTTCACAGGAGAAGGAATGAGCAGTGATGGCTAGAGATTTAGAAGAGTCGGAGGCGAGCTTGCGGTCGGTGAAGTGATATCGTGTGCAAATGAGTTCTTCGTCATTTTTTGTTTTTTGTTTTTAATAGTTGCAATAATGAGGTGGAAATTATAAAATATCAAAATTTATTTTTTATTAACTTTTTTATTGCCACATGACTCATTTAATGATCAAGTATAAGCGTTGACTGCCACGTAAAAAAAGTTAACAGAAATGAACATAGAGTGACCATTGAAGAAAGGAGAGTATAAGTTAGTGACCACAAATGGAATTAAATATTTTTAGTGACCAAACTTTGAAATTTTTTAGTAATTTCAGTGACCAAACTTGCAATTTATCCTTTTACTATCCAACCCTACTGGGGTAGGTATGTAGGGATGTCAGTAGAACCCGAATCCGCGGGTACTTTACCCGACCCAATCCTGTCAACGCAGGTAAAACCTACTTTGATGGATTGCGGGCCAGGTTCAGGTTAAAACCCGCTATACTTGTTGCAGGTTGGGCTGAGTTTGAGTTAGCCATATCCAACCCGTGAAGACCAGCACCCAAGTACTCCATACCCCCCATGACCAAGGGAACCTTTAACTAATTAACTATAATTTCTAACCTAATTCCTCACACGTTCAATTAATCATATTGTTTGTGAATGTTTAATTATCTTTAATATTGAAAAATTAGTACGAACGATTTGTAAGTTAGTGTGTAAGTAGTACACAATAGTAGTGAAAATTAGTGTAATTGCATCTTTGTACATGAACCCATTGGTACCTATGAACCCGGGGATACCCAGCGGGTTGGGTTTGAGTTTTCCAAATCCAATGGGTTTTATCCCGAGCTTTTTTGGTAGATAAACCCATGGGTTTGGGTTTGACATAACCCGCCCCAATCTATCCATTTTTGCCCCATCGGGTGCACTTGCGCTCCCTTGTTGATCAGGGTAAATAGTAGGATCGACTCGCTCCACCGCCTTGGTGGGCTTCCTCTGGATGGGTACTTCTCAGGTCTTTGTCCCACTGCGGAGGGTCACATCTCCCAACTCATATTCATCAATTTGATTTCGGGAAAGGGCCGCTTGCGTGATAATCCCCATCTTTGTTATCAAGATTGATTGATGACTTTGCAACCGCGCCTCTATGGATGAGAACTTCTTCGTCGCCTCCCCGTAAACCTTTCTATTTCTCAAACTTCTTCGAGCTGGAACTAGCGAAGGTGGTTACTAGATCCTCCAGGTAAGACATCTTATCGGAATGTGCAAAAGAGATGGAATGCAATTGTTTATCGAAGACGTTCGCTTCCTTCATCAATTGGCACTCCACAATTTCTTGGTTGGCACTCGAATACCAATCACTTGCCATCAACGACTTATTCTCTTCCTTCTTATCTTCAAGAAGTGCATTGATCAATTGGTCAATTTTGGCAGCAAGCAGAGGACAAGCCTCCGTGGCGTGTACCCTCTCTTGGAATTCCTTCCACCACGTCTCATCGATCCCCAATCATAACATTTTGTTGCCATATCTTCAAGTAAAGCGGTCATCTTGGGTGGGGTCTTTTTCATCAAGTTCCCTTGGCATAGAGAGTCAATGAGAATCTTGTCTTATTAAAGGAGAGCGTCATCGAAGGTTTTGATCCAAAATCGCTATCCAAACCCGTGATGTGGGCATTGGAGGAAATAGTCATAGTACCTCTCCCATGATTTAAATGTCTCGTCCTCCTCTTGATCGAAGTGGATGATTTTCTTGCGCCACTTCGGCGTCTTGGAAGGTGGACAATATCGGGCCATGAACTTGTTGAGTAAGTCATCACATGAGGTAATAGAGAGGGGTGGTCTATTGTTGAGCCAACGGAACGCTTTCACCGCAAGAGAGTAGGGGGGAAATCCTCAACTTCAAAGCATCATCGGATACCCATTGATCTTCAAGCTTCTCGCAATCTCGATGAATCTCTGCATATGCTCCCTTGGGCACTCATCCTTAAGCCCTTGAAACTGAATGTTGTTCTAGATCATTGTGACAAGGTCGCGCTTGATCTCGAAATTGTTAGCGACCACGAGTGGATGTAAATTGGTCGATCGGATATCCACCGCCCGTTGAGCCATATAGTAGTCCATGGTCCTCGGTTCATCATCACCATCTGGAGCATTTTGATTCTCCGCCATCTCGGCTTCACTTCCTTCCTCTTCCTCCGATTCAAACTCTTCCTCAACTACAACTTCTTCAACTTCATGACCAACTTGTGGTTGTCCCCTCTCCTCTATCCTTCTTCTTGCTTCTGCCAGCTCCCACTCACGAGCCAAGAGTCGGAGAGTGCGGTTGAGATTCTCGTCTAGTGGCGCCAAAGGTGTCGGATTGCTCCGGGTCATATACCCTCCTGCACACCTTCAAAGAAACACAACTCGTCTAACACAAGCAAGATTCACGCTCACAAAAACAAAAATAAATGCTAGATTAACACCAAACAATCTTTTCAAAATAATGGACCAAAGTTCCCTGACAAGGCGCCAAAAATTTGACTCCTCCCAAATATCACGTAAATATCCCGATTAATGTCCAAGTATAAACCTTTACCGGGTACAATATAGGGCAAGTATGTTTTAAAAGTCAAACCTGGGTCAGTCCATGTACCCCTACTTCAATTGTTTGAAAATTATCTAGCAATAGAGTTTTGGTTGAAACTATGAACTTAATGCAATTGGAAAAGTAAATGGTTTTGAACACTAAATTGATAAGACTTCACCCGGGTGTGGCTCCTCCTGGCTAGTAATCATGATTATCAGATTGAATGCAAATGTGTGTTAAAAGCAGTTGTAAACGGTAGGGAAGTTAAACAAGTGAACAAACTCCACTCTCTCGGTCACTAGGCCAAAGGATTTCGAATCAAGCTACCAAGGTTGCTCTCTTGGTCAATCGACTAAGGGTTGCTTGGGCTTCTCTCTCGAGCAGTAGTCCAGACGGCCAAAATGCAACCTACCCAAGATGCTAATACGTATTACGAGCTTTGCCCTAAATCAACCTAAGTAGGTGAAACAATTTGGCCAATGAATTTCAGCTTTTACAAGCCTCTTGATAGGGCAAAAGCGTATATGCCAATTTCCTATATCGTAGTAAACCGGAAAGTCCGGGTATCGTCTCTCAGGGACTGGTACAACCTTAAGTTCTATCAATTTTGTAGAGCAAACTATAGGTGAAAATGGTTTAATGAGATTATTAACTACTAGCAAAATAATTAAACTAATTAAGCAAAGTAAAATGGTCGGGAGAAATTCAATGGAGAAAGCTCTGGGAGAAACACCGGAACTCGCTACCTATCATATCAAAATTAATTCACATATTCCAATCAGTTTAATCCATATCTCTACAGTCAGGATATCACTACTGTGCTAGCTATCCTTGTCGGGAATTACTACGTACTAAATAATCAATTCAAATCGTACTGTCGTAGCTCAATGACTTAATTATTTAGCCTGAAGATCGATATCCTATTTAAGACCGCATAGCACCTTATTTAATCCACTGTCGCTTCGATAAGTTACTATGTCACATGAAATAGGTTCAGTTATTAGGGTTTCACTGTCGCTAATAACCTAATTAACTACAAATCGTTGTATTGGTGGCCAGTCAACACAAAGCATTAAGCAATTTCATGCAATAGAGATTGGAGGAAAAGAATCATGAATCAATCCTTCAAATCAAGAAATAGCTACATCCTATGGTGTTTCCCCCAGAAATCGGTGTTTAGTTCATGACGAAAATAAGATAAATCAATAGGGTTTTGTTCATCATGTTCTAAATCAACAATACACAACTAGTTCGGTCTAGAAAATCCAACCAAAGTAATCGCTCTTGTTGAACTCAGCTCAAACCTTGGAAAAACTGATCGCCAATCGATAATCGCCCGATGCTTTGACAAGCTCCGCTGCGCTTTTTCTTCTGTCCTTTTTTTGTTCCAAGGGTTTTCTCTCGCCTGCCGCTTAATTCCTCCCCGCCAGCTGCCTTTTTTCTTTTTCCCCCCGAGATTGTTCCGCCGCCAGCTTGCAATTCATTCCCTTCCTTTAATTTCACCTGTCTCTCCAATCAATTGCCTCTCCTTAATTCCGCCGCCAGAGAATTCGCGTCCCAGCTCGCACAAAATCCAGTCCAATTAATTGGACTTCCGTCCAAAAACCCTGGCCCAATATTCTTTCCTCCCTCCAAATGATAGTCCGCCACAATTAGTTCCCCTGGCCCAATTGCAAGCCGCCAGCCCGTAACAGTTAATTGCCTCCATCAATTGGGCTTGACCCAATTACTTGTTGTGGAAGAAACATGGATCCAATTCCTCCCGCCATCTCCTGCTTCGGAGGTTCCACTGCTGCTATTTTATCCATCTTTTCACCTAAACACACACCAAAACTCCAACACAAAATGGTAATGGCTTTTCAACCATTACGGATTAATTCTCCCTAAAATAGCACCAATCGGCTTACACATACCATGAGATAGTCACATAAAACTCACAAATCCGATATATTAAAGCCGATTATCACCTCTTTGCAAGAAGGAGATTTCCCTCTACCTAGATCAAATTGGCATAATAGTTGGAAATGCAAAAACACAACACAACCTTCATGAAAATACCTCAAAAGTTATATTAAAACACAACCACACACACCAATCATTCAATCCATACAAACATTCACATAATTCTAGCTAGGTTTTACAAACACCCAAGTGAAAGAAAGAACTACTCCATACTCAGAAGTGGGATTACTGATGACTCGGTATTTGCACATGTTTTCCCCTTTGTTTCTTGATTGTTTGAGCTTGAATTATTGCGTCTTTGGCCTATTTTATGCTAGGTTGTATTCCTTTGTCCCATTTCAGGTCCTAGCACATAAAGTGAAGTATAGGCGCAAGTTTCAAGTCAATCAGAGATCAATTGACGATTCGAGAGAAGAAACTCGGGCATGACCTGAAGAAGAATGGATTTCTACCTCACTTTATGGACAAAGAATCATGCAAGCTTGTTATGAAACGAAAGAGGACGAGACTACGAGCGTCTGGGATCAAACGGCGATTGATTCGGAGTCCGGATGAGGGAGAAACGAAGCATTAAACAGAGGCTGAGCAAGCTGCACGGGCAGACCAGGGAGGCTGCACGGCCGTGCACGTGAGCAATATGGCCGTGCGCCATATGTCGAGGACACGCACGGGCAACCCCTGAAGCTCGCACGGCCGTGCACCCTGGCCGTGCGAGAGGGCTGAAGTTCGACTAAATGACACGCTGCGTTTTGAGTTGCACGGCCAGAATGGTGATATGCACGGCCGTGCACCCTGGCCGTGCGAGTCGGGATTTCCTGGTTTTAAGCCAAATTCAGAACCAAAGAAGAGGGAGGGCTGGGTTTTGGATCCCAAACACCCAAGGGACGAACCCTAGAGAGAGAGGGCGATTTGAGGGCATTCTTGGAGTAGAGAAGGAGGATTTCTTCGCCTTGGAAGCTCGAGGAACAAGCCCGGACTTGAAGACTGATCATCTGAAGATTCTTACTGCAGTCTCTCTCTTCTCTATGGAGTAACTTCCCTTCACTTAGGTTTTGAGGAACCCTAGCTATGTTCGTTTGATTGGATGATTGTATGAGTACTCTGACTGGATAATCTTGAGTTCATATTCAATCTATGCATGTTTTCATGATTCAATTCTGCTTTAGTCGAGATTATTGATTCTGCTTTGATCCTATGAGAGGGAATACCTGATTAGGTCAATAGAGCACCATAGATTGATAGTAGTGGATCGATTGCTTTAGTCGAGGGTTGATTCACTGCTTTGTATCGATTGAGAACCCCTTTCGATAGAGGGAGTCTAGTTCAGAACGCCTTGATCAGTTGTTCTAGAGAAGGATACGTCCCTCTAGGCAATTGACTCAAGAGGGCCTTGTTCCTTTAGTCGAGACTCAAGGTCTAGTCAAGGATTCTCCGCATTGTGAATGAAAGTGAAACAGGTTAGAGATCATCAATCATTAATCTGGCTAGTGGCTAGGGGGAATCATACCTAAGTGAGTTCCCAACCTGTAATTAGATTAACTTTAACTGTAGTTTGCTAGAGTAGTTTTAGTTCTTTCATCTTAATCTGGTTTGCTAAATAATAAACTGAAGTTGAGTAATAGTAACTCTAGAGACCCGTGGATTCGATATTTATCACTTGAGCCACTATACTGCAGTCCCTTCCATTGGTTACACTTGGCCTTTGTTAGGTGTTGTGTTTTAGCGAGTCAATTACACAGAGGAGAAGAGAAGAGACCATCATGAGAGGGTTGCCTTCTTTCTTTGGTGTGGAGATCAACCTTTGAGGACGAGAATCCCAAATCTTAGATCTTGGATGAAACCCTAACTTCTCTTCTCCTCTTCTCTTATTCGTCACTTTCTCACTCTAGAAATCTGAAGAAGAAAAAGTTTCTCACACTAGCTGCTCCCCCTTTTCTCTTCAGCTCAACCCTCCTTTTATAGCCAGATCGGTGAATTTTCACGGTCCCAGTTCACGACCGTGAACTATTGGTTTGGACAGTGATGTTCTGCAAAAGCGTGTTGTTTCATAAAGGCTCTTCACGGTCTGGAGTTGATTATCATGGTCTACTGGCCGTGAACTGCTGAATACCCGCGAAACGGACGAAACCCTCCCGGACTCCTCGCGCTTCGCGATTCGCGCCTTGTCTTCACGGTCTAGCTTCCACCCTGAACTACTATGTTTGCTCCATTTCGACCGGTTTTTTCCCCTTTTCGTCCAACTTTCGTTCCATGGGTTGATTTCACCTGCTAGGATCTGAAACATACTAAAAACAAGCACAACCTAGCGTAAAACCGAACCCCACGGAGTAAAAGTGTCTCATACATCTAAGGAAAACATTTATAAAATGTGTACAATTAGAACCTAATTAAGAGTCAAAATGCGTCATTTCGGGCGATTCGGAGACATTCTAGCTGGTCAAGGACAGGTCACGGTCCTGACCATCGCGTCACGCCCTGAAGCCCTTGACCGCTATCAGTTTCTATAAATACCCCCTCTTGTTGCACTTCTCAAGGGAGAGTCGCCCTAGAGTGAGAAAGTTAGGGTTTTTGGTTGTTTTTAGAGAGGGAAATACATTGGGAGAGCTAAATTGAAGATCCAATCCACCCAAGGAGCAATGAGAAGGTGCAAGCAAGGAGAAGAAGTTTGACTCCATCACTCCCCTCTTCTAGTGTGTGTTTTCTTTCTCTCTCTAATGACTTGAATCTTTAATGGTTGTGTTAGGGAAGATGAACCCTAGTTTGTAGGTTGTATATGAATGGGTTTTGTATGAATGTATTTATCTATTTGATTTAAATGCTTCTCTAACTTTGATTGTGTTTGGGTAAGTCACCCTAATCTTCTCTACTAGCCTACTTGAGCTTCTACGCTGGGTATGGAGTTTTAAGGTTAGAGGCGTATGCGCCATCAAGCAAATTAGGGTTAGATGAATGGATAGGATCTTATGGTGGACGAGGCGACTGTACCCCTACAATAGGAATGTCTTCCTAGATAAAACCCGGGATGGAACCTCGATGTGGACGGTAGGTAGTACCCAATGAGCTATGTTATTAAAGCCATAGATATGATAGCCTAGATCGAGGTGGCTGGCATGGGTTTAGGGGAGGCGTACTCAGAGGCGAGTGGATACTACGAAAGCCCACAGAAAAGAGCTCACTCATCCCATTCTCTTAACCCTACACGACAACCATATTTAGGAGGATTCAACTCTAGGCAACCGTCTAATCTAGAGATCTCCCAATCACTTGGTTGGTTGTTTATGTTACCTTTAGGAGTATATTAGATTAGTTTAAACAACCAACCTTTTGATTCGATTAGATAGTAGTTCGGAGTGAAGTAATAGTAAGCTTAGGGTTCCATTGGAATACGACCGAGCCACTTTACTACAACCCTAGCTAGGTTATACTTGGCTTAGTTAGGATTGAATAGAGAGTGTGCATCGATTTATAAATTTAAAGCTCGATCATGCTCGCGGGATCAAGGCGTCTCCTAAAACAAACATACATCCTCGACTCTGCCACCACCTCCTTTGTTAGTCTTCCTCTGTCTCCCATATCCTCTTTGCCAATGGCCAGAACATCGCCACCCAAATTTCTCCTCCAAGTGCCCACATCCCAGATGCTTAGATCCTCGACTGCTACTGCCGCATCGGGACAATTGGGGTCTGCACTGCTACTGCGGGAAGGGAAGAGGGGATCACCCTCGCGAATCTGCAAGTTTTTTGGGTCCCAATCTGATTCATCATTTCTCTCCGCAAAGGTGGATTTGCCCCGCGAATCTGCAAGTTGATGACGATATCCTTCCTTGCTCTAGCTTCAATCGATTTCGCCTAACTCGGCTTCCTTCCTGGCTGCTTTAATCGTCTCCGCTGGGAGCCCTAATTAGAAGGCCTTGCTGGTCAACTTCTCTGAAATTGAAGATGAAGAGAGGAGAAAGGAGACTTAAACGACGGTGAGGCATGGCCGGTTCAGGTTAGGGTTTTATTGAGTTGGGTTGGGTTAATGTGTTGGGTTGGGCAAAAAACGTGGCGGGTCGGGTTTGACCATTTATGGCCCAAAATGATGCTGACTAGATAGTTTCGTCAGCCATGTCATCACATAACGGACTCTATTAACAGAGTTGGACGAAGACTAATGGAGAGTGACAATATATGGACTATTTGAATAATTCGAGTGACCAAAGTTGATATTAATTTTTTCTAATGACTAAATATGACACGTTGTAGTAAACCCAGTTACCAAATGTGGCATTTACCCTTTTCTAGAATGAGACTTTTATATAGGGATGGCAGGCCCGGGTACGCAAGCGGATACCCGCCCGAAGCCCGCCCAAATTTGGGCCTGGTGGTTGCTGGTTTGGGGCCCGTCAAAGGGATGCGGTGAAACCGGTATCCGTCAATGATGTGTCTCGGGTCGTGACGGATCGAGAACTATCCGCCCCATAACCCGCCGACGGATTACTTGTCCCGCAAAACGTCGTAGTTTTGCTTGAGGTATATATTCCCTCCTAACTCAGAGTTAACCCTAGCCGCCTTGTTCATTCGATCCATTCCCTTGAAAACAAAAGAAACCCTAATTCCTTCTTTCTCTCTGCCTCTCTGGCGATAAGATCGCAAAAAGATCGCGATTGAACAGATTTTTCTTCCTTTCCCCTCTCCAAATCGCCAAATCCAGAGACTTTCTCCTATTCCCCTTGTCATCTGTCTTCAATTCCTCCAATCAAATGGCAAGAGGAGCAACCATTCGACGATGATTTCGTGGACCACATCCCAGAAAACTAAGAAAAGAGTCGTTAGGAGTTGAATCATCCTCCCAAATTGTTGATTCTTCGTTGACAGATTAGGATTCTCATCTCTTTCTTTCTTTTATTTTCATTCGATTTTTTAGGTTAGACCCAAAATATGAACTGACTCTTCTACTGCTATATATAGGGGGAATTTCCTAGCGAGTGTTCTACCTTCATTTCTCATCATCTGGCCATCTTCTTACATCCAGAACACCCAGTCCCCAGTGAGCAGAGAGTTAGAGACGAGACTCGAGACCAAGTTCTAGGCAGAGATAGAGAGGCAGAGACGAGACTCAAGACCATATTCTTCTGGGTAAGGTCTTGATTTCTTGTGTACTTTTTCTGGGTTCGTGGTGTCAATATAGACATGCATGCACAGTACTAACTAGTTTTGTTTGTTGTTCATTCCCTTTTTTGGTTTTTGTAGACTCGGTTTAATTCGATCTTAGAGGATTGAAGATCAAGGAAGGAATCGACTGACGACTGTGTGCTCGACATTCTTCAGAAGACTCATTAAGTTGTTCATAAGGTAATCTCTCTGGGGTCTTGGTGTTGTTTTTTTGGTTTAGTGGTGTATGGATTGAGAGTTCTAACTTGTGTTTGTCGTTTGTTCTTGTCCATTTGTTTTTGGTGTTTGTAGCGACCTTTGGAATAGATCCTCAAGGACTGCAGATCATTGACCAAGTACAGTCTACAATCAACAATCTACAGACTACAAACATTCTCAAGGTAGGTAATCCTCTTCTCCTTTCATAACCTTGTTGTCTTGCTTGCGTGGTTGTGTGACTTTCTAGGTTATTGTGATTGAATATTTATTTATTGTAAGAAAAAGTTAAACTGACTAGGTTAGATTCATGAATTTATAACCTGTTTTGAAATGATAATGGTAATGCTACTTAATTTTGTGTGTCTTCTCAATGTAAAACAGTATAACACTATAACTAAACGGTAGTAAGTAAAAATGCAGATCGTTAACTAATACGTATTCAAATAACTTGATTTTATTCAGATGGAAGGTGCAAATCCAATGAATGTGGATCCTGTTCCTAATGTCAATTTCCCTGAAAATGGTGTCCAACCTGAACAACCTGCTCCTATTGCCAATAATCTGGTTAATGGTAATGAGGAAGAACGGGAAGCACAATGTAAGTTAACCTCTAATGTGTGGCCTCACTTCCACAGAGTTAGGGTTAATGGGGTAATGAAAGCTAGGTGTAAGTACTGTCGTAAACCCCTTGGTGGGGAAACCAGTAATGGAACTTCACACTTGAGAAACCATATCAAAATATGTATCTAGAAGAGGATACATGATGGTTCTCAAAAAATACTTGCCCCAACTATCAACCTGCTAAAAATCCTCAACTCTCTGCTTCTCAATACAATTATGAGGTTTCTAGGAAGAAACTTTGTTCCATGATTCTGGTCTATGAGTACCCCCTCAGCCTTGTTGATCATGTGGGTTTCAAATGTTTTTGTTGTTCTCTTCAACCTCAATTTGGTGTCCCTAGTAGAAACACTGTGAAAAGGATATTCTGGGTCTGTATGGGGTTGAAAGGTCTAAATATCATACCATGATTGATGGTAACTTGCATAGGGTTTCAGTGACTACTGATTTGTGGACTGCCACAAATCAAAAAATGGGGTATATGGCAGTTACTGGTCACTTTATTGACAATTCATGGAAGCTTCGTAACATAACGTTGAGGTTTATGTACGTTTCAGACCCTCACACCAGTCAAAGACTAGCTGATAGGTTGTTTGATTCTCTTCTTGATTGGAACATTGATGGTAAGTTGTCCTCAATCACATTGGACAACTGTACCACCAATGATTCAATGATATTTCATATGAGAAATAAACTAGTGAGCAGCGATATGTTGCTTGATGGAAAATTGATTCATATGAAGTGTTCAGCTCATATTCTGAACTTGATTGTGAGGGATGGGTTGGATGCAATCAATGATGTTATACATTTGATCAGAGAGAGTGTAGTTTACTGAAATTCTACACCTTAAAACCTTCTTTGAAGTTGCTAAGCAACTAAAGTTGACCTTTGAGAAAATTTTGGTACTTGATTGTCCAACTAGATGGAATTCCACATACCATATGCTCTATGTTGCTCTTCAATATAAGAATGTTTTCTTTCGTTAGAGTTTGAGGGACAGTCAATACACCTCTGTTCCTTCTAGTTCTCATTGGGAATTTGCATCTGTTGTGATTGATAAGATAGAAATATTCTCTGAGATAACTGAGTTATTCTCTGGTTCCAAGTATCCGACTGCCAATCTTTTCTTTCCAAAGATTTGTGACTTGAGACTAAAACTGAATGAGTGGGGTCTTGATCCCAACCCTGTGATTTTTGGAATGGCCAGTCAAATGTTTGAGAAGTTTGACAAGTACTGGGATGATATACATCTTGTACTTGCTGTCTCGGTTGTTTTGGATCCTAGATATAAGCTCCATGTGATTGAATACTATGTTGGAAAGTTTGGGAGTATGGAAACTGATCTGGTTGCTGAGAATATCAAGAAGATTATTTGTGGTTTGATTCTTGATTATCAAACCAAAGCCGAGAAGAAGTCTGGTTATGAAACTGGAACT